AGCCACAGCGCCAGCAGCAGCAATGCCAGCCATGGCTTCACTGGATAAACCGCCCCTCCTTTGGAGGGAGAGGCGGAGGGTGCATTAGGAGCTGAAGTGGGAGGAGGTGGCGAAGGTGCTGGTGCTAGCAATTGGGAGGGTGCTGGCGCTGGAGAAGGTTTTGGCACTGTCAATGAGGCGGGTACAAAAATGGGATAGGAAGATAAAGATAAGGAAGGGAAAGGGAAATGAGAAATGGGGATGACGGTGGGCTTGGTGAAAGTGGATGTGGCATCAAGCACATTTTGCACAGTGAGAGGTAGCAAAGGAAGGCATGGAAGGGTTGAAACTGGTATTTTTTAGCAAAGCTCAAGAGGAGGCATGCAACAGAAGTGAAAAAATGGTATTATGAGGATGCCTAATGCCTGACACTGGAAACGCTTGTTCTGTAGGTGGCAATGTAGGGTTCATGCACTCATCACGAGAGCAATTCACGAATAGGCAATACAAATAAGCTACCTGCGTAAGGAGCGTCTCACCTGGTGGTGGCTGGACACATGTGGTGCAGAAGGAGCCACACTGGCTGCAAAAACGACTTGGAGTGTTCTGTTTGACCACACAGTTGCTGTAGTCAGGAGGGCATGTGATTCCAGTATCAGAGATGTCCCTGCATGTGCACAGGGAGCGCTTTCAGACTAAAAACCACAAACGGGTTCCACCTCTATGGTAAATGCTCTGTGGTTGCTTTTGGAGAGGTAGGGTCACACAATGCAATATTCTACCACGCCAAGATGTCTTCCAGGCTGAAATATCTGGTGTAACATACATCTCTTTTTGTCGGCTGGATTGATGTGGACCAGCCTGGTTCGATAGCTGTGAGCCGGGCCATTCCAAACCTGGCCCTTAGTACCTTGTTTGCTTCATACTTGTGGCTGGAATAAAACTTGGGCTGCCTTACACCATCTGAACACCTACCTAGGTACCTTGTACACCTCCACTTTCCGAGATGCTTAATGTTAAGAATGGTGGAAAATACAACACGTTAATATGCAAAGATGTCTTACGGAACAACCTCCACTTTGCGAGATGCTTAATAATAAGAATGGTGGAAAATACAACACGTTAGTATGCAAGGATGCCTTACAAAACAACGAGAGTGAGATTACCCACTGTTGGAGGGAGCTGGCCAGTGAGGTTGTTCGAACTGACATCACTGCCATGAAAATGACAAATAGAGACGTCCAGGCCAAAGATTTGCTATCATGTTTATAAATGGTGCATGCATGCCAGAGGCTTCACGTTTACAGTGATAAAGGCAAAAAGAACGAAAAAAGGTGGTAGAACGTAAGAGACATAAGGAGAGGGAGACAAATAAAAAGTGCATAATATGTCGAATTAAGATTGTGGCAGGAGTTGCAACTCCTATCACGCTTAAACGTTTATTGAATACAGCTACGTTATTAACCCCAGCGAACTAGTAAACAGATTTTGAAGGCTCGGACTTTCCAGCTCCTCCTCTTTACGCACCTCCTCCGCCTCACCCGCGCGCAGTAACCTGCTTTGATACCATGTTAAATTCGAAAGGAGTATGTTAGAAAGTCTGGAAGTCTGGGAAAAATGATTATGTGACATTACGAAGAGCAAGAGCTCAAGACATACACTCAAGAGTACGAGCAGGAAAGGGCGCGCAACTAGCGGGGAAGGCCGCACGCTGAGCTTCCGTTGCGCACCCAGCTTCCGCCACGTGCCCTGCTTCAGCCGCACGCCCTTCCCCAACCGCACGCCATTAACAGCCCACTATTGCGCCCTCTTCAGCCACTGCCACGTTCTCCTCACTCCCCTTGCCTCTTCCTCCTCCATTCTGTCTTTTCTGTGCCGCCTCCCTCTCGCCCCTTTCTTTGCCCCCTTAGGGGCCAGAGTTCAGGGTTTAGGGTGTACGGTTTACGGTTCTGGGTTCTCGATTCACCATAAGCCGAGCCAGCAATCCTGCTCTGCCGGCTGGCCCCGAGTTATCGACTGGCCTGACAAGCCGAGGCCCGGCTTGTCGGCTAGTAATCTTATTCTTTCACCAGCCGGCTGTGACAAATTAGCCTGAAATTGAGTTGTTGGAGCCGGAATGGCCTGCACTGTGCAAATAGATGCTCGATGAACCAGGCTGGTTCCCACGCTATGACAGAACCCGTTGATTCCTAACGAGGATATGTGACGCCCGAGTCCTGTGGGACACATATGACCCTTGGATTGACATAGTTGGGAGCTTTTGCTACACATCAAACTCTTTGCCTTTTTTTTCCACACGCCCTCAGCTGCAGCTATGCTTGAGCAAGTATCGCTTGAACTGGATCGGAGGCCCAAAAGTCGAACCAAACCAGTTTGGTTCGGGCCAAACCAAAACCGTGCTGTTTGGGGCTCAAGCTTCACTGACAGTGGTCGAAGCTTCGAGTCGAATCATATGCAGTGCAGTTCCACCTGAACTGGTTCGGGTTGGGTTCGGCAACAGCACTTAGCATAAAAACCCAGATCCGCACAGATCTGAGCACGAAATCCAAGACCCACGAACCATGGCATCCCTTTTTCCAGATTGCCTATTTGTCTGCATGAAACCTCTGCCGGCTTGACACGAACCAAGATCGATCGATGTTCAACGCGCCTTAGAATCCAACAGAATGGATCTAACAAAACAAGGTACCTTGTTACTTCATACCTGTGGCTGGAATAAAACGTGGGCTGCCTTACAGCATTTAAACACCTACCAAGGTACCTTGTACGTACACCTCCACTTTGCGAGACGCTTAATATTAAGAATGCTGGAGAGTACTCCACACTAATATACAACGATGCCTTACAAGTAATAAAGAAGAGTGAGATTGCCAAATGTTGGAGGGACCCGGCCAGTGAGGTTGTTCGAACTGACATCTCTGCCATGAAAGTGACAGATGATAGACGCCCAGGCCAAAGAATTGATATCATATTTTTTCATACTGTATGCATGCCAGAGGTTTCACATGTACAGTGATGGAGACCAAAAGAACGAATCAGAAGGTGGTATAACATAAGAGACTGGAGAGAGAGACAATTGTCGCAACCTGGCAAGGGTGCCATGATATTGTTACCAGCTAGCCCATGACAACCCAATTCGGGCCCAGACCTGTCCGAACAAAGCTAAACGACTCCGTGCAGGTAAACATGCAACGAACCCCGGCAGTTCTCAACCTCTGCAGGACCAAGCCAAGCAACAGAAACCCACGATTCTGGAGCTGTGCTGGTCACAATGACCAGTGGTTTGTCAACTTGTTGCTGGTCGCATGAGAGAACGTTTAGCCAGTTTGGAAAGACTGGTCTTGTTCTCGACCGATTTTCACCCTATGGGAATATTCGCTCGGGACCCTGGTATGTTCGCTACGAACCTGGCACGCATGCCCATCCTTCAGCTCGTGACAAGCCGGCCTGGCCACTGGCCATCGTACGATGATTGTCACCCCCAGCTCAACATGAGTTGGTCACGTGTGAGCCATTGCTCATGCCTTGCTAATGCTCATATGTGCACATGCCCATCTCCACATGCTCGCACTCATGTGATACTCACACAAAGGTCAGCCTGTACAAGGCACTGAAGGAATCTGGAATGGATCCGGTTAAGCTTTGGTTGTACAGACGGCTGTTGGGCAGTGGAATGGAATGGGTGGGGAACATTAAAATCTCATGAGGAAACGGGATCAATAATGAAAGAAAAAGGTGGTAATATTTGAGAAGGAGAGACCCGTGCAGCCCATGTGTTGCGCATGGAGGTGATAGCAACCTGAGAGGTGCATTATGGTAGTGTCTTTCTGGGCTAAAATACTTTCAACATGAGCCACAATACAAGGAGAACGAAGGCAACCAAAGAATTGAAGGGGGCTGATAAGGAACTCCAAGCACGTAGCAACCCCCTCCTGCAGGGCCCCAACACACTCACTGCAAACTTTTCCACACCTCTCAAATACACCACCGCCGCCTCCCCCTTCCACTCACCCATTTTCTCCCCTCCGCTCCCTTCCCTACACAAAATCTACCTGAACTCTTGTGGCACACAAACATGCTGCAGTTACATTTCCATTACCCTCGGCATGCAAACTAATTCTCTGACTTAGGCATGATAGAACTACTATAACTGTACCTCTCTCTCCCTCTATGGAACCCCATTTCTCCAATGATGTAAAACATAGGAACATTAAACATCAGATGGGAGGTCATCCCAAATTCTCCGTGTAAGATGCTTTTTAAACTTGATTAACCAACATAACTTCAAATTTAGTAGTGACAGTTCTAAAGGGTACACTCAAAGAACAAAGAAGCAAGGGAGTGCAAGTGTAGATGAGAGGAGGACCGTGGGAGGAATGGTTCGTGAGGGAGTGCAAGTGAATTACAAAGAAAAGCACAACTTTATCCCATCCCAAAAACGTTTCGCCCAAAAACCTCCCCCCAGGTTACCCACAGCTTACCCCGTGGCGGGAGACCCCGGGGTCCTTGTCTAGGTAACCCGCGGGTGACCTCTGCAACATTCACTTGGCGAGGTGACCACGAGGTCACCCACAGGTGGTGACCCACGGGAACCCCTCGGGGGACCACTCCCAGCATTTCGGAATGAATCACACGCGAGCCGCACGCGAGCCACACGCGAGCCGCATCCTCGCTGTGAAATGCTCCCTAACACCTTCGATAATTGCCTACAGTACACTAGCCGACACTACAGTTGTTTGGCCAACGTTCGATACGAATTCTAAATGCATACGCATTAATTTTGATAATTTCATGCAAATTATTTTTGTACCCTAAATTGGCATTTCGAGATAACCATATGTGTATTGTACGAAGCATATATTTCAGTGTTGCATAATCATTTGATTACGATTCAATGAACTTTATACATGTTCTTTGAGCAAATTGCAAATACGGTACATTCACTTCCATCATTCAATACTATACACGCTGGCAATACTGGGAAGCATTGCTAGGAAACAATTTCAATAAATGAACACTTCCTAACGTGCACATAACGTCATCCTGGTGGGGAGCCGGGGGCAAAGCTCAATAGCCCCTCTATTTTGCTGTGCTCCTGCAACACACCAGAGGACGAAAACAGGAACAAACGATACAGCAGCAACACACGCCACGTCAAATCAAAATGGCGTCAAGCAGGATTCTCACCTCACGATGAATGCAACTTCCACGGAAATGCGGAAAGAGAGATAACGGGGTTCGAAATCAATACAACAAAAAATCGCAACCGTTTGAAAAAGGGTCGCCATCGTAGTCTGCAAACGATGGCGACATTCAGACAAAGTCACTAAACAAGTGCAGTTCATGAGAGCGCAGAATACTCTTGAGCGCGCATTTCATGGTTAGAAATAAAGCGCGCACGACTATCTTACCTCGCCTAAACTCCCGGCGCACGACTTGAGAAGCTCACCGAATTGATCATGACGTCGCACTGCAGTTACCGCGTCAAAATGAACATCATTAGGGTACGAGCGCTACAACGGGAAAGAACCAGAAAAAACAAAACAGCAAATTACAGGTACGATTGTGGACAGCTTGTCGTTCTGCGGTGAACCTTATCACCGTTAATGTCTCACCAGCGCTAATCGTGAGAAGCAGCACGTCGTTCCAGTACTGCAAGAAGCTCTCGTAGTAGCTGTTCTAAGTGTGTATCATGAGTTGAAAACTAAACCAGAAATGACGGATTACGTAAGTACAATGGTGGATAAGTACTGTGAAGGTGCTCGGAGAGGAGAGGGAGTAGAAGTTGCAATCGGACAACTCCGATTGGTTAGTAAACTAGAAAGTGCCACGTAACCCAACCCATCACTGTATGCCACATATTGAGCGATGCGATAACAGAACATAATCAGATAGAAAACAAATAAATGTAATTCCAACATGCTGAGAGCGATCCTCTACATTGCCATGTGCAATTTCGTACGTGGCTGTCTCGGCAGTCAAAGTGAAGCGATGTTTTGATTGGTGCCGAGCCTCCCTGAGAAGCTGGGGTAACCTCGGGGTATCAAATCGAACTCAGCTGGCTTCTGATTGGAGCGCGAAATGCTATTCGAGAGTAGATGACGTGGTTTGTGCTCAAAGGTAACCTCGGGGGCACTTGCTGGGAAGTTGTGGGTAACCCCGCGATGGTGACCTTGGGGTCTCCCGCGATTTCAAAGTAAATGTTGCGGGATGAATTTTGGGATGCCAGGTAATGCATGGTCAGCAAGTGTAAACTCGCTGAAATGGTTCAAGGGATAGCAAATAGAGCACGCAAAAGGGTGGAGCGAAAGAGAAAACAAAGGCTCTTAAGTAAAGACCAGCAAGACAAGCTAGGGTTGGTGCTCTCACATTGCAGACACCATGCCTTCGGCATCGCACCACACACCATGTGCTAAGCTGCAGTCCCCCCCAGCCACCCACCCAGAGAAATTCCGCCTCCATGCCTGCTGCAAGTCCAGCAAGACTTGCACTGGCGGCAGATGGTGGGGGAGTGGGGGCAGGAGGGCAGGAGAAGGATAGAGGGGAGGGGGTGGGGCGGAGGACGGAGGAAGGAAAAATCGGCTCTCATCACATGTGTGTCGCACCATTCTCTTCCTCCGTCATCAGCCTCCGCCGCATGATTACGGAATGGACACATGGTGGATTACCCAGAGACAGTGAAACTGCTAAGCGATAAGCATTATGCACTTGGAACCATGGGCATGACGTGGTCACTGATCCATAGGTGTACATAGGAGAGATCAAAATAGGCAGAGCAAAGTGATTCTCACTGCATTAGGCAAGTGATTTTACTACGATTACTAATCGTAGTACGTACACGACGCCTTGCCGTTGCTGCATCCACCCATGGCAGCAAGCCACCCACACAACTCCCACCCCTATGCGTGCGGGAATTCAGCCAGCAGGTTGCACTGGTTGCCGCACAAGCAGGAGGAGAGGATCGGCTAGCAGGCGACAGAAAAGTATTTAAGAGACGAAACGCCCTGCTTCTGGTGGGAGGGAAGAAATAAAATGATCAGCCGTACCATCAGTCGCAGACAGGTGTGATGGGTGTTGGAGTGGTTCCGCGAACCACACTAACGACGGTAAACTGAAGACTAACGACGGTGGGAAATTCGGACCGACGGCGGCATGATGGCGGTGGCGTGTGGAAGAAGCAATACGAAGGAGCTAAGAAGTATCTAAGATTACTATGCGTGTGTGCTAAGTTATGAGCTAGGGGGAATGAATACAAGGAAGAAATGGGAGTGAAGGAGAAGTGACGGGGGAGAAATGAAGGGAAGGGAAGAAATGGTTTGACGGGGTTGAAGTTGGGGTTGAAATGATAGCGTGGTTCACAAGTTTTTGACTTTCGGACTGGGGGTGCGTTCGAGGAAGAAACGTGGGTTGCGTGTGCGACTCGACGTGACACATTGCGTGTGGGACACGTTTGGTTACAAGGGGATGTTACTTGTGCGACACGGCTTGTTTCAGTTACGCGGGTGCATTGGGTAGAAAAGGGTTTGTACTAGTCAGTTGAATACAACATTGGGAACCTCTTCGCTTGGTGAAGATTCGTGTTTGATTCTGATTGGCGGCATTTTTGGCACTTTGGTCAATTTCGCGTCAAACTTCCGTGAAGCCTACGTGAAGGCTAAGTCCAACAGTAGTGACGCGAATTCCTTTGTGAAACTTCCGTCAAAGGCCCGTCCAGGCCCAGCAAAGAGCCGAAGCTGCAGAATTCGGGTGTAGGGCCCGTTTGAGGCCCGTGAAGGTTCCGTGAAAGCCCCGTGAAGGGCGCGTGAAGCAGAAATCAAAGCCACGGCCCGTCAGGGTCGCGTAAAGGCCTCGCGAAGGCCTCGTCAAGGTCGCGTCAGCCTGGGGAGTGGCGTTTCGCGACCAACAGCTGGTATCAGAGCTGGTTTAAGTGGCGTTTCAGCATTCTTAAGTGCAGAGCGAAGCTTTCGAGATGGTCGGCGGACAATCGGAAGCTAGTTCGGGCTCCTCTGTGAGTATTGGAGATCCCCAAGTGAAGGCACTTCTGGAAATGCTGGCGCAAGAGGGGTGGTGACGAAACCCACCATGGGGCTGAGCGAAGCCCAACGATTCCACGGCCAACACTATAGCACGTGGCGATTGAAGTTCATAAGGAGGGCGAAGGAAGTCGGTTTTTGGGAGTACTACCGACCGGATGGAGAAGGTGACGCAGCCGCGCGTAAGGCGAGTTCGGATGAAGAAAAGGAGGAGTACAAGAAGAGGAGTAAGCTAGCGTTTTTTCAGTTATGTCACTCTGTTGCTGATGGGATTGCAGTGGGTTTGGATGAGTTTGCAGAGCGTGAGAACCATGCACAAGCGGCGTGGGCATACATGGAGTCGACGTACCTTGGACACATGGACGCAAACATCGCCGACGTGAGGAAGAAGCTGCTGTTAATGACTATGGAGCCGAATCAGAAGATTATTGACTACGTCAACTTGGCAAGGAGCTACAACGACGACTTAACTGCGATGGGCGAGCCGGAAACCGAGCGGGCGATGATAGGGCACATCGTCAACGGACTTCCGGAGGATTGGTCGGGTGAGCGGCCGGCGTTGATCTGCCACCCACCGGAGAATATGACAAAGCTTATTGCCATGCTTCAGGCGTTGGAGCGAGCAAGAGAGCATCAGAAGCGACGGGAGAAGTTTACAAGGGGCTTTGTGGAGGAGAAGCCTGCGTTGGTGAATGCGGCAGCTGCTGGAAGGAACACGGGAGCGTGCTACCAGTGTGGACAGATGGGACACCGTGCGTTTGAGTGCGCGGAGAACCCGAGGAGCAGAAACTACAAAGGGAACGGTGCGGGATGGAGTGGAGGACAGCAACACGGAAGGTTCAATGGTGTGTGCCATCACTGCAAGAAGATTGGGCATCGGGCAATTGATTGCTACTCGAATCCCAACGGGCGCAACTACAAAGGACCATTGCAGCAGTCTCAGCAGAACGTGGAGGCCAAGGCTAACGTGGTGGAAGCGGAGGAGGAAAAGGAAGATGTGATTTTGGGGGGAGCGCACCGTGCAAACGTGGTGCGGGTGCCAAAGGTAAACGAGCCGATGGATGGTGGTACGAATTTGACGTGGCTCTTGGACAGCGGATGCACACGTCATATGACTTTCAGGTTGGACTTGGTGAATAATATGAGAGAATCTAGTGAGACTTATATCCTGCAAGGTAACAATGGAAAATTGCCGGTCATGGGAGAAGGTGAAGTGGTGCTACATGGTCCTGATGGAGGAATCGAGTTGCAGAACGTGCTACTCGTGGAGGATTTAAAGGTAAACCTCATTAGTCAGTCTCAACTCGACGACCAGGGGTGCAAGGTATTTTACGATGAAGGTAAGGTTTTTTTGTTTGGATCTGAGTGGGAGAGATACGTGGATGGTGTTTACAATGATGAGTTCTACGAGATGAACCTCATAGCATGCAACGACATGGATTTGGTTTATGAGGATGATGAGTTCTATAAGGTGGAAGTGAACATCGGAAAAATGTCGAAGTGCATTTTGGTAGGCAGAATCAGGGCGCGCGAACGGTATGCTTTTGGGGCATCGTAAACGTGTACCGAAACACTACCTGTTTGTATCTTTTCTGCTTCGCTTGTACGATTACATAGTTTTTCAGTAACATAATGTTCTAAATGTTTGTAATATTTTTGTACAAAATCTCAAATTAACTTATTAGGGCTGATATCTTGGTGTGGTTGTTTCATACTTATATTTATATTGCTCACCTAGATACTTATCATTGTTTATATGATGACTGTGAATCCATAGAGCTCATTTGCAACATTTTCCCATATCTATGAGCAGTGATTTGCATTTCCAGCCAATACATCTCCTTTAATAGAGGTCTTACAGATTCCAGTGATGAGATGAGATCTACTCAAACAAATAATCATTAAGGAGGAAAGTTCCAGGACGATCGAACGACTCAACAATGTGGACTGCGCGTAATACAGTATCAATATCGATGATGTCTCGGTAATCCCGGGTACTCCCAGGGGCTTTTGCCACCCTCAGTTTTTTGCACCCTGTCACATGGTCCACCCCAAGCTCATCGTAGTACTGGACGTAAGCGTAGCTGACGTCACTGTTATTGATTTTGAACAGCGTCAGGATCTCGCCGTACCAGATCTGGTTACCGCCGCCGAGGATTGCTGCATGGGAGAACCATGGCTGCCCATGGTGTGAGGGGTTCGCACGTACGAAATGGGTCACTCGAGAATGGTACGCCATCGTGCCAGCAGGTATAACGACCCCCGTGAATATCTGAACAGGGGTTGATGGGGAAAATACTTTCATGGTTTAGGGTAGAAATGATATAGGCACGTGGCTGTACAGAGCACCGCGGCAGGTGTCTGCGTGATAAGGTGAGGGGGTGAGAGTGGGCAGAATGAGGTGGGAGTGGGTGAGGTGGACAGAATAAGGTGACAGGGGATGAGAATGGGCAGAATGAGGTGAGAGGGGATGAGGGTGATAATGGTAACGCGAGAGAGAATGAGGGTCGGGCAGAATGATGTGAGAGGGGACGATAATGGGGGCATAATTAGGTGAGATGGGATGAGGGTGGACAGAATCGGGTGAGAGGGGATGAGGGGGGGCAGAATGATGTGAGAGGGGATGAGGGGGGGCACATTGATGTGAGAGGGGATGAGGGGGGGCACAATGATGTGAGAGGGGATGAGGGGGGGCAGAATGATGTGAGAGGGGATGAGGGGGAGCAGAATGATGTGAGAGGGGATTAGTTAACGGAATGGGGTGAGAGGGGATGTGGCGCGGGTTGAATGAGGTGAGAGGGGATTTGAGTTGGTAGAGATGTATTGTTATCTCGAACGAAGATATCCTTACATGTAATGTGGGGGGGTTTAAATCCGCTCTTCCGAGATCATCCTGCAGTGTGTCCAACCGTCCACCCAAGGCTGTGTTGTGGATGCTGAAGTGGTCCGTTTTGCTGCGGCGAGCAGAGCTGCCCTCCATGTGAAACACGACAAAAGTCTGAAGATAAACGCGCTTGCACTCGGTGTCCGCCTGTGCAGGACTCGCAGATAGACAAGGTGAGAGGGGATGAGAGCATGCAGGATGAGGTGAGAGGGGATGAGAGCATGCAGAATGAGGTGAGAGGGGATGAGAGCATGCAGGATGAGGTGAGAGGGGATGAGAGCATGCAGGATGAGGTGAGAGGGGATGAGAGCATGCAGAATGAGGTGAGAGGGGATGAGAGCATGCAGGATGAGGTGAGAGGGGATGAGAGCATGCAGGATGAGGTGAGAGGGGATGAGAGCATGCAGGATGAGGTGAGAGGGGATGAGAGCATGTAGGATGAGGTGAGAGGGGATGAGAGCATGTAGGATGAGGTGAGAGGGGATGAGAGCATGCAGGATGAGGTGAGAGGGGATGAGAGCATGCAGGATGAGGTGAGAGGGGATGAGAGCATGTAGGATGAGGTGAGAGGGGATGAGAGCATGCAGGATGAGGTGATAGGGGATGAGAGCATGCAGGATGAGGTGAGAGGGGATGAGAGCATGCAGGATGAGGTGAGAGGGGATGAGAGCATGCAGGATGAGGTGAGAGGGGATGAGAGCATGTAGGATGAGGTGAGCGGGGATGAGAGCATGTAGGATGAGGTGAGAGGGGATGAGAGCATGCAGGATGAGGTGAGAGGGGATGAGAGCATGCAGGATGAGGTGAGAGGGGATGAGAGCATGCAGGATGAGGTGAGAGGGGATGAGAGCATGCAGGATGAGGTGAGAGGGGATGAGAGCATGAAGGATGAGGTGAGAGGGGATGAGAGCATGCAGGATGAGGTGAGAGGGGATGAGAGCATGCAGGATGAGGTGAGAGGGGATGAGAGCATGCAGGATGAGGTGAGAGGGGATGAGAGCATGCAGGATGAGGTGAGAGGGGATGAGAGCATGCAGGATGAGGTGAGAGGGGATGAGAGCATGCAGGATGAGGTGAGAGGGGATGAGAGCATGCAGGATGAGGTGAGAGGGGATGAGAGCATGCAGGATGAGGTGAGAGGGGATGAGAGCATGCAGGATGAGGTGAGAGGGGATGAGAGCATGCAGGATGAGGTGAGAGGGGATGAGAGCATGCAGGATGAGGTGAGAGGGGATGAGAGCATGAAGGATGAGGTGAGAGGGGATGAGAGCATGCAGGATGAGGTGAGAGGGGATGAGAGCATGCAGGATGAGGTGAGAGGGGATGAGAGCATGTAGGATGAGGTGAGAGGGGATGAGAGCATGTAGGATGAGGTGAGAGGGGATGAGAGCATGCAGGATGAGGTGAGAGGGGATGAGAGCATGCAGGATGAGGTGAGAGGGGATGAGAGCATGTAGGATGAGGTGAGAGGGGATGAGAGCATGTAGGATGAGGTGAGAGGGGATGAGAGCATGTAGGATGAGGTGAGAGGGGATGAGAGCATGCAGGATGAGGTGAGCATGGGATACGTGACAGCATGAAACAGTGACAAGGGATGGGGGTGAGCATGACAACGTGACAGGGCATGATCGTGGGCAGTAAACGCTGGGATAATGAACCAGGGCCGTGAGACAGGGTGGGGTGGAAGGAGGCGGGGGGGGGGGGGGGGGAGGGGGGGGGGGGGGAGGGGATAGGGGGATTGGGGCGGCTGTATAAGGGTACAGAGTAGTGTTGAGCGTCAAGGACTTGCATGACTGCCCGGTGTCAGCGGTGAAGGACTTGCACCGCTGACAACACCGGAGGCTCAACAAGTCCTTCAAGGAGGAAGATGGAGACTTGCATGACTGCCCGGTGCTCAGCAGCAGACACGTTAGCTCCAGAGGCGAAATAGGTGAAGTTATGTGGCAGAGCAAGGCCCGCGATACGACCATGGCTCCACATCCATTTCAACCGCCTGAGGTAATAGGTGTGTTTGGTCAGGTGTGTTGTAGGTGCAGTGCAATGCTCAGTTGTACAGATTCTACAAATCAGAAAAGCACACAACACATGACTCACTCGTCCAACTTCCCGGTCTTGGCTGCTGGAAGGGTTCCAATAGCATCCCGGATGTGCCCCCATACACCAACATCCGACTGGTGGAGCACATCTGGCATTTGTGCCATGTAGGGATTCCCCCACGGGGTTTCAGCGAACTTCCAGTCCCACAGAAAGGGCTGAAATTGGCAGGACCAAGTAGAGTCAAGATATCACACGTTGATCGAAACAACATCAGGATACATAAACAACAGCAGTGCACACCACTTACAGCTATGGGAAATGTTGAGTAAAGCTTGGCGTAATCCGACGCCATCTTCAACGTCGTTTGAAGAAACATATTGAACTTAGCCACGATGAATCGTTGGCTACCTACTGTTCTTAGATTCGGTTTCGTGGCTAGATCAGCCAAGTCCTCTTTGGATACATAGCACAACGAACAAGGCTTAGCCGACCCATGCTGGAAGGTGCAAGACACTTTGCACGTTTCTGGGTAGTCACCGGCGTAGCAGTAAAGTAGAGGCCATACGGTACGTACCATACCCGTGGGGTCTTTCCAGTAGCAGCCCGTGGCACTGTTCCATATGTCAATACGACAGTGTTAACAACGCAGTACCAGGAAACACAGAGCGCAACCAAGGGCATAGTGTTAGCATGATCCCAACATTTAGCATTTAGATCTGATGCACATGGTGTCTTGGAACACATATCGCAAACCAGGGGCATAGTGCATGATGAGGCATTGTGGCATCAACCCAACCGAACAGTACCCACCTGTTGCTAGCATCGACAAGTGGTTTGAGAACGATCTTCATACATTCTTGGAACAACTCGGTCTTGACTGCGCTTGACCATTTAGACTGTGGAATTGGTAGCAAGGCCACCATTTGCTTGGCACTGGCTTTCCAACGATGTTCTATTGCTATGTTGCCGAGTGTGATCACAACAGGCCATGCTTTCTGGTTGTCGTTTTTAGACAGCTGAGTCACATCGGAGTAGACTATGAGAGCTGCTATTACTTCATCACTGAACCCTAGTGCTTTCTGCCAAATAGGAGTGAAGGCCAATTTAAGGGAATCAATTCCGTATTGTTGGGTCATTGCTGGGGTCAGAACAATACTAACAAGACAGAATGTAGTCGACATCAATCCGCGAACAGAAGCATGAGTGTGATGAGGGAGCAGGGAGTGGGGATAGGATAGCAGAGAGTGGGGATAGGATAGCAGGGAGTGGGGATAGGATAGCAGGGAGTGGGGATAGGATAGGAGGGAGTGGGGATAGGATAGCAGGGAGTGGGGATAGGATAGCAGAGAGTGGGGATAGGATAGCAGGGAGTGGGGATAGGATAGCTGGGAGTGGGGATAGGATAGCAGGGAGTGGGGATAGGATAGGAGAGAGTGAAGATATGATAGCTGGGAGTGGGGATAGGATAGCAGGGAGTGGGGATAGGATAGCAGGGAGTGGGTGTAGGATAGCAGGGAGTGGGGATAGGATAGCAGAGAGTGGGGATAGGATAGCAGGGAGTGGGGATAGGATAGCAGAGAGTGGGGATAGCATAGCAGGGAGTGGGGATACGATAGCAGAGAGTGGGGATAGGATAGCAGGGAGTGAGGATACGATAGCAGGGAGTGGGGATAGGATAGAAGAGAGTGGGGATAGGATAGCAGGGAGTGGGGATAGGATAGCAGAGAGTGGGGATAGCATAGCAGGGAGTGGGGATACGATAGCAGAGAGTGGGGATAGGATAGCAGGGAGTGGGGATACGATAGCAGAGAGTGGGGATAGGATAGCAGGCAGTGGGGATAGGATAGCAGAGAGTGGGGATAGGATAGCAGGGAGTGGGGATAGGATAGCAGGGAGTGGGGATAGGATAGCAGGGAGTGGGGATAGGGTAGCAACAATAGGGATAGCAGCAGGGATAGCAGGGAGAGAGGATAGCAGGGAGTGGGGATAGGGTAGCAACAATAGGTGACGTGATGCAACAGATTGTTCAAAGAGGCATTACAAGCGTGATCTCACCTGTGCCTCAAGCCACCAATTTCCGTGCTGTGGGCGGGTGTAGACTCTTTTGTTAGCACGGTTCCTCTTTTCGCTTGGAAAGAGTGCAAACCCGTCGTGGTTCTTGACGTCTTCAAATATGCGCTTAGCAATCTGCTTTTCAGAATCGATTTGGGGTGTGAATGAGGCACGGAAAAAACGTTAGTACTGACGATTCAAGTAGCGTATACATAACACAGTATCCTGCATCATATCGAGAGATGCTCACTGATGCTCGCAAGCCCGGACTAACAGGCGTGACTGACCTGCAGGGGGTCGGCATGCTCCAAGGCGACGTAGACAGGTTGCCCATTTTCAGTCACGCCAGGCACCTTCACCATTGTTGTCTTCCACGTGCTTGCTTTCGACCCCCATTGGGCAGCGGCCCATTTTTGGGCATCCTTGATGCTGCGCCAGCCAAGCAGCTCCTCTCTTTTGAAGTCCGGATGTAAGACTATGCGGAGGAACTGCCTACTCTCTTCAACAGTCATTCCTCGGCCCTCGCGGAAGCTTTGCATTAGGAGCATAATCTCTAGCCTTGTGCTGAAGGAGCTGCACATCTGCGACGGCATAGACTGCTCCTCATTTCGGTCGTCACCGCAACGATCCACCACAGGGTCACTATGGGATGGCTCTGGTGCATGAGATACCTCTTCAGGAGACACATTGACGATGGGATTGCCGCATGCCGCATCACGCGGGTCATCAGCCACTACCCTCCTCCGCTTTGAGAATGACGCAGGGATTGCGTCACGGACGACCTCTCCGCGCTCATCAAGGCGACATGGCCCACTGACGCTGTACCCTTCTGAACGCAAAGCGGCGCGTTCAGCACGACATTCTAAACCAGGGTTGTGATTGTGAAGCGACAAACGCCGGCTAGACGAGAAGATTAGGCCGCACCAGGTACATACGACCAGTGAGAACATGAAGACCTTGGCCAAGGACTGATCACTGGCCATTGGGCGATGGGAAATGGCCTTGTGTCAGTGTCAAAATGCTGTGAAACGATGGAACAGCTCTTTAAGAATGCTCTTCTACTCATTATGCAGGGTCAAATATAGCGAGTAAAGAGAAAGAGTGTCGCGCGGGGGCGGGACGCTGGCTACTGCAGATCGCTAAAAGCAGTCGTTGCGCGTGGGCTGGGGAGAGAGAAGGTCTCGCGCGTAGGCGGGGGTGGTTACTACAACGTGCTACTTCGACTAGAGTGTGATTCGGGCGTGATTCAGGCTAGCGTGAGTCCCTCCCTTTGAACTTCGATCATTCAAACCCTAAAAAAAACCCTCTGATTAGGCGAGACCCGCTAGCGTGCGACATAGGTTTGGTATTGTGACTGCATTGTTGACAATATACCTGTAAGCTCATTTTGCTCACCATTTGTTTTGGAATGTCAATTCACCTCAAGTTGTGAACCTTGCATTAAATTGTACTTATTCATACAGGCATGTAAAATATTTTGGAGGAAGGCAGTAAGAAGCCTCTTGATCCAGAAATCGACGACTGTAAATGTTCAAAAATAGACTTCTAACAAAACAAAATTGCCATAAAATCATCTTGACACTATTTACACAAGCCCCACCACGTTTGAGCCCAACCCTAAATAGTCAGCGCATTCTTATCATGCGTCGAAGCTACGTCCCTTGCGGGACAAACAATTGTTGCCTAGCCTAGTATCGTACTTACAGTCGTCGCGTGTACCAGCTAGAGCCGCCTTCTCAGTTGCAGCGATGTTGGCAAAGGGAATCCCTTCAGCGTCGGCATGCCAGGCCAGCCTATCCTATGGCAAGGGAATAGGATTTACTAAAGAAATGAGTGAAGAAACAGAGGTAAAAACAACACCTAGACGTTGAAACAGTGACATGTTGCACACTGGCCTGTCCTTGCACAGTCTCAAGCCTACAAATGCACAAACAAGCGTCAAGAGCTGCGTAGTTGTGCTAACAAGCTCAGACAAGTTCCTATGGCTAGGGAATAGGATGTACTAAGGATCTGTGTGAATAAATAGAGGTAAAAAAGGCATCCAGACGTTGAAACAGTGACATGTTGCGCACATGCCTATCCTTGCACAGTTTCAGGCCAGCAAATGCACAAACAAGCGCCACGCGCTGGGAAATTGTGCGAACAAGCTCAGACCAGTTCCTATGGCAAGGGAATTGTATGTAATGGGGAACAGAGTGAAGAAACAGAGGTAAAAAAGGCATCCAGACGTTGAAACAGTGACATGTTGCGCACATATCTGTCCGTGCACTGTTTCATGCCAGCAAATGCACAAACAAGCGCCACGCGCTGGGAAATTGTGCGAACAAGCTCAGACCAGTTCCTATGGCAAAGGAATTGTATGTACTAAGGAACAGAGTGAAGAAACAGAGGTAAAAATGGCATCCAGACGTTGAAACAGTGACATGTTGCGCACAGGCCTGTCCTTGCACAGTTTCAGGCCAGCAAATGCACAAACAAGCGCCACGCGCTGGGAAATTGTGCGAACAAGCTCAGACCAGTTCCTATGGCAAGGGAATTGTATGTACTAAGGAACAGAGTGAAGAAACAGAGGTAAAAATGGCATCCAGACGTTGAAACAGTGACATGTTGCGCACAGGCCTCTCCTTGCACAGTTTCAGGCCAGCAAATGCACAAACAAGCGCCACGCACTGGGAAATTGTGCGAACAAGCTCAGACCAGTTCCTATGGCAAGGGAATTGTATTTAATAAGGAACAGAGTGAAGAAACAGAGGTAAAAATGGCATCCAGACGTTGAAACAGTGACATGTTGTGCACAGGCCTGTCCTTGCACAGTTTCAGGCCAGCAAATGCACAGACAAGCGCCACGCGCTGGGAAATTGTGCGAACAAGCTCAGACCAGTTCCTATGGCAAGGGAATTGTATGTACTAAGGAAAAGAGTGAAGAAACAGAGGTAAAAATGGCATCCAGACGTTGAAACAGTGACATGTTGCGCACAGGCCTGTCCTTGCACAGTTTCAGGCCGGCAAATGCACAAACAAGCGCCACGCGCTGCGAAATTGTGCGAACAAGCTCAGACCAGTTCCTATGGCAAGGGAATTGTATGTACTAGGGAACAGAGTGAAGAAACAGAGGTAAAAAAGGCATCCAGACGTTGAAACAGTGACGTGTTGCACACAGGCCTGTCCTTGCACAGTTTCAGGCCTGCAAATGCACAAACAAGCGTCAAGAGCTGCGTAGTTGTGCTAAGGAGCTCAGACCAGTTCCTATGGCTAGGGAATAGGATGTACTAAGGAGCTGTGTGAAGAAATAGAGGTAAAAAAGGCATCCAGACGTTGAAACAGTGACATGTTGCGCACATGCCTATCCTTGCACAGTTTAAGGCCAGCAAATGCACAAACAAGCGTCACGCGCTGGGAAATTGTGCGAACAAGCTCAGACCAGTTCCTATGGCAATGGAATTGTATGTAATACGGAACAGAGTGAAGAAACAGAGGTAAAAAAGGCATCCAGACGTTGGCGCAGTGACATGTTGCGCACAGGCCTGTCCTTGCACAGTTTCAGGCCAGCAAATGCACAAACAAGCGTCACGAGCTGTGTAGTCTTGCTAACGAGCTCAGACCAGTTCCTATGTCTAGAGAATAGGATTTAATAGGGAGCTGTGTGAAGAAATAGAGGTAAAATATGCTTCCAGACGTTGGCGCAGTGACGTTGCGCACATGCCTATCCTTGCAGCAGCAGTAAGGCCAGCAGCAAACAATAAAACAATCAAGATACAGTGCTCCAAATGACCTCAATGTGGGATGGAAGGGTCCTTACACTATCCCTTGATATCCTACCCAGGTTGGATCCCATTCTAAAATAGCTAGCATCGTCAACGCATGCCTCGATAATAAGGATGCCAGAAGTACTCACCATCGTCAGCAAATGCGTTTAACATGACAATGCGTCAACCTATGAAGAAGGTATTTCCCTAACTTGAGATTACACACGCTACTATTTGGAAGGTAACGTTAACACAAGTCAGGTTTTTACACAAGCTATTATAGTACATACATTGAGGTTATTGAATATACTTGGGATGGACAAACAATTAAAACTGCCATTTATCGAAATTGCGATGTGCAACACTGATGCATTCAACGTGGTTTATATTCTGTGCCACAGGATTCCCGCATCATGGCGACGCGTCGCAACCAGGTTTCGTAGCAGTCGCGCTGCAAATCTGGCAACATCCACGTCACATGGGTCGCGTAACGGCAGTTTCGTGCGCTGGTTGCGAGCCTGTTTCACCGATACAAGGGATTGTCAAGTGATAGAGACCAGTTGTGTGCGCCGGTTAAAACAGTGGTTGATCCCAGTCGTCAATCAAAATGGCGTTATAGGCCTGTTGTTAAGGGCGGGGTCAGCGCGTTCGTTTTTCACGATTGTACAGTTCATCCGTCGTGGTGCAAAACGATTCCAATCGGTTTACAGCGGTTTCCAAGATCAACCGTTTTAGACCGTGACGAAACGAGAGTAACCGCTCAGGATGAACTGTAAAATTGTGTTAAACGAACGCGCTGACCCCGCCCTAAGTGAACCAATCAAGTCCATGCTGTCGCCAGCTTGACGATCAACGGTAGGCTGCCACAGTTGCTTTCATCGAACGGGCGTGCCTTGTTCTGTTTGCTTTCGACTTTCAAACTTCAATTCCAAAACCACGAGAAGACACATTACATTACTCTCTGCCAAGTACCGTGCAGCCGATATCCCCAAAACCACGTCCAGTCTCAGTACTAGCGAGCTTGTGACTATCCGCCTTGCCGCCGGCGACTCACACAATCCAGTCGTAGGCGCATGCTGCTGTACGTTCGGTAGTGTGCCATGGCTACTGAGACGGGCACGGGGGCTTTGTTTCACTGCGCCATTGCGCAAAGTCGCCGCGCATACTGCTATTCTCGTACCGGTGCAGCACG